TCAGTTATAGTCCCTCCATTATCTGGAGGCTTGGCGTTAGTCGTTCACTCCTCCTGTTATTCTGGAGACTACACTTGGTCTATACTCTCACGGTCATCTGGAAATCAATCAATTTAAGTTGGCTCTCACTTTTGACCTGGGCCAAGTAGACATTTTCTCTTCCAATTAAAAAAGGACCCTCTCTAATTTCCTGGTTTACAGGACTGCAAGCTATACCAGCTAAACTTGAACTGACTTAAAATAGTAGATCTGTCTTTGAAACCTGTGCTATGGATTTTGGTTTTGGGGATTTAAGACAGCTGCCACAACTCATTACAGTTTATTTTACTATCAGACAGTTCTAGTTCAAAGAGCAGACAAATGTCTTCACCTTAAGTTGCTGAATTTTTAAGCAGCCTACCAAGGCTTCCTACTTAATTCATAGGAATTTTTTCCATTATGCATCACTAAGGGAAGAAGCTGGCAAGGTAGTATCTGGATGCACTTGAGGGCCGTTTGCTCTGTCTGGTTGAGGTGCACAGTGTACTCGGATTAAGGCTGTGCTTTTGTTAAACTCGTCTGTTTTAGGAAAAATGGTGGTACAATGTAAACTTTGAAACCATGTATCTCTGGTTTAACGTAAAATGTTTTCTCTACACTGTTTAAGCCAGGGTGTTTGTTGGCCAACAAACAATGGCATGTTACTATTGTTACTATCATTTTCAGAGTTTCTCAAAGGGTGAGTTGACAGTCTTTGAACAGACCTTTTATAAAAGATGTAAGGACATTCAAGAAATATATTCTTTGTTTCGTCTTTGTTGTCTTTGGGTGAGAGGCGGGGTACACCTTGGACTGGTCACCAGTCAATCACAGGGCTGACATATCGAGACAGACAACCAGCCACACTCGCATTCACACCTACAGGCAAAGAGATTCTCCGACGGGGATTTGAACCAAAATTGCAAAAAAAAAGAAATTGCACTAACCACTGCACTCCACTCTGTTTGTGCAGGTGTGTATTTCAGTGTGATGTGTGAAGCATGTTCAAAAACAATCGAATTTCGATAAATTAAGTATATTTTCTTCATCTTAACTCACTCACTTTAAATGATTGCATAAGCCACAGTATTGCCTCTTTAAAACTCAACCCTTGCTTCTCCCCTGTAAGGCAGCCAAACACACAAACACAACATGAAGCTGTCAGTGTTGAATAAATGCTGCTGCCTCTGTGTGAATAACACCTGGGACTAGCACACACAGTTTAAACCCAATTTGTTGTGTTGCAGAGCAGGAGACGGCGTCCATTAAGAGTGGATGTCAGGCTTCCCATGGGCCACTCCAATCGATAGCAGATGTCTTTATTAACACAGAGGTGCTTCAATAAGACCTCTTTCATAACCGGATTTTCACAGACAGATGGTGGATGAAAGCCTGTTGGTTGTGGAACATTAACAGACACGACGACATTGGTTCTGAAACACTTTTTTTTCCCTCATCACAGCACTCCCTTTTTGTTTCTGTACTCTTTAATCACACTGAATGCCATTCCAATATCTTACAAAGTTTTTTTAAAGAATTTGAAATCAAAGACTGTACATTCATTCATTTTCCAAAAACACATTAACCAAACTCAAATCGATATCCATCTGTTCATGGCTTCAGCCTCCTTCATTACTATCATGGAGCGTACTACTTTTTATGATAGTATCCAATTCTTGCAAAGGATATTTTCCAATGAGTTTCAGAAAATAATAAAAATGTATACATACCAATTGTTTTAGAACTGATGATGAATGTATTTATCCATGTATTTTTCAGTACTTTGTTCTTAAAGTACAATAAGAATCGCTTCAAACTAAATGTCTTTGTAGGTTCTCAGTCATCCAGGTCATGGTAAATTTGAAGCTTTAATATCTAGTTCCATCCACCAGAATGTTTAGAACTGAAGAAGCCTTTCGGAGGAGAGGTGAAAAGTCTTTGAGCTCTTCAACCAGTCCAGTTGGCTTTTGGATCATCTTCGAAGCTTGAAACTGAACTGTCAAACACTCACAGAAACAAGTGGAATGCTAAATGGACCTTCTCGTCTTCTGATTACTCAAAAACGTATTAACACCGCAGGTCACACCTACCAATTAAGACAATGATGAGAGAGGTTTCTAAGTAAAGTGTCCATTAGTATTAACTAATCCATTCCTACACATTCATATGCCACTGACGGAGTACCGGGAGCTTGGGGTCCAGTGTCTGTCCAAGAACATACAGTGTCTGACATGTAGCTGAAGGAGATGGGGATCGAACCCCCGACCTTCCGTTTGAGAGAAGACCAACTCTACTTCTGACCCATAGCCGCCCCAAGATCTAAATTTCAATCTCCCTTTCCACTTAAAGTCGATTTACTGTAACATCTCTACAACTCTGTGTATCTGTGATATGTGTATTTAACTAGCTTAGTTTAAGTTCCCTTTTTTGTTCCTTCTCACAGCATTTTTCTCCAAACTAAAACTCTAGCCCAAACAAAAAGCAAATACAATAAAAAGTTGTTGATTAAAAATCTGCTTGAATGAAGTAACAAACTCTCTCAAACATGATTAACACTATAACACTATATTAACAAATAATACATTATCCTCCTCAGCCCACAAAGACTCCCCCGTGTCATAAACTGGGGTCTTATGGCAGAGTAGATCCAGACTCTTCACAGGGCTCTGACCTTGAGTCTAAATTGTATGCTGAAGGTCAGTGTTCCTTCACACCCTACGGCGCCCGACCTGTGTCTTAGCAGATGAAGAATCACTCCACTTACTCTCTAAGACTGTCTGTTCAGCCACTTTGAGAAAAATCAATGTTCTCCAGCCCGGAGGAGAGCCGCACTCCGAAGTTGCTGCTATTCTGACCTACAAATGACTACTCGGCTGTACCCCGAAGGCTTCTCTGTGTTTTTATATGTGATTTCATTTTATGTGTGTCTGTATGTGTGACAGGAAGACAAAGAGACATAGATCCAGGGGACTTTACAGTACAGTAATTCATATTATACAGCATGTGTGTGACATGTCTGTGATAGGAAAAGAACTGGAAAGTTTTTGTGTGTCCTTGTATCAGTTTTTGATTTTCCTCTGTGGAGTCTATGAATTGTAAATTAAATGTAGCTGCTTAGCATTAGTTGGCTGCACATCATTCGTATTAAAACCTTCAATTTTTGTGTTTAAGATCCCAAAGCCCAAAACACAGTCTGGATTGTCAATCAAATCTTTATTTATTCTCGAAAGGACATTGAGCTTTCCCTCATTTCCAATCGTGTCAAGGTGACAAGCACATTTAAAACATGTAAACAACACAACAAATATAATCAATGCCAACGACCATAGAAATAGAAAACAACTGGACACAAAGTGGCTAATGAAAATCCTAAAACCTGCAATAATGACTTCAACTGTATATTTACTGATAAACTGGTGTCATCTAGGCTCACTTATTTTCAAATAAGTGCCTGATTACAGAATGATTACTTGATAAATTATATGTGTCTGTCAGCGCCTATATCTTATTGGACTTAAAGCTGTTTGTTTGCACTTCCTGATGTTATTTTCTCCTCTCTAGATCCTTGCTTGGGTTGTATTACTCTCTGTAATGGTAGAGATATAGGCTCAGACAGTCCAAGAAATCTCCCTTTGCTTTTCCCTTTGATTTCAAAGATCAAACCAGCTGGTACCAACCAGGTTGAGACCAGGCTGTTTGAAATAATCTCTTTGGGGAAAAGCCAAAAATCCTGATCCCTTTGCACTGGCAGATGTATAAATAATGGTATAACAGTCACTGGTCAAGCTTACAAGCAGGTAAAACAATATGACTAGAATTGTATCCACTGAAAAGCTTTTGCACAGACATGTTGGTGTGCCAGTTATTGACATCAACAGAAAGTAGAAAATAAATTATTTGTTCCTCGAAAGGCTCCGGCAGCACAATCACAGCTGAGAGGTTAAGTTTACTGACTAGATAGGCTGAGTTGTTGTTTCAGCATCCACATGTTTCTGAAGATGACCAGGCCCTCAAATATACCTAATGCTTAATATAATTAAAATGGCAAGCTATATAAAATGACCCCTCTGTACAGTTAACGTGTAGAGAATTTAGCGCTAGTTTTTAATCGCATGTTTGAAACCATTATTTTGCATCTAAAAATTAAAAATTCTTAGGCTTTTATTTTGAATTATTGTATATTCTTAAGCTGAAAGTACTTTATCTGCTGTTTGAATCACAAACCCGCCAGATTGAAGGTTATGACATGACATCCAACTCCTTATGGATCAGTTACTTAGGTCAAACAGCTCAAAGGAACGGTAACAAAGGTAAATGTTTGATGTTGTAAGGTGGATATTACTTTAACTCGTCAGCTGAGCTGTCTGAGAGTTTGTTAAAGTGAAATGAGACATTCAAAGATGCAGCAGTGTCCTTCTTTTACATCACTGTAACTACAGGGAGACACTGAGGAGGCTTGTCTACTGTGCACCTAAAGGGACAAAATAACATGAACTCAATCACGATTTAAAATAAACAATGCATTAATTCAGACATTAATTAATCACAATTATGTAGTTAATCTCTTTTTTTTTGCTTTTTTTTTGCTTTTGGAGCCAACCTCAGGCTGAAACTGGGACTGCAGTTGTTTTGTACTCACACATTGGCTTCATTTTTCAACACCTTCGTTTGCTGCTTGGGTAGTAAAACCCCTCAGGACAAGGGCTGATGTGACTGTTGTTTGTGAAAACCCAAACTGTCTCTTAAATGCATTTGATTTACAGAAACATGATTTGAAAATTGGTATTCTGCAGATTAACTTAAGAATAAGGCAAAAACAAAAAAGCAGTTTGTCACAAGCTGTGATATCAGAATAAAATCCTTTATAGCAGTTGTGGATAATGAATATGTATTGCATTATTATCACTATATTCTTCAGTTCATATTCTGTGTATATATAGTTATACATTGACACTCTCCTCTCTCATCCTCTCTCTCCACAGGAACCTGTTATACAGCCTGCCAGGGAAGTCTCCTCAGTTTTCCATCCTCAAGTTCACACAGGAAGCCGTCCTGCATTGCAATGTCTCCAGCAAAGCAGCCAAACACAACTCTGCAGACAAGGAAGTCCTCTGCCACAGCACCATGAACCAGTCTCTGTCTCTCATCCTCAGGGCCATCCGCTCAGCGGAGAGGCTGGTGGGCTTTGGCTTGGACTTGTTTGAAAATTACCCAAGTGATGCAAAATGATCCTGGCTGACACAGGTGAGCTCGGATGCATTCGAGAGCAACAAAAAAAAAAAAACGCCCTCTGAAATTGGCTTGTCAATTAAACACCAAAATCTCAATTTACCCTTAGTCCTGGAAAAACTGAGAATCAGTGCAGAATAAAGGGACACGTTTTAGACATTTTACTTTAATTATCTTCATATAAAGGGGGGTGAAAATGTTATTTTTTCTAATTGATGAATGTATTGAAACTAAGTTGTTGCAAAAAAGCGTTGAAATATGCAAACAACGCGAAACAATCAGGCAAATCAAATTGAACTAAACTAAACGTCCTTTCTGTCAAAGAAGACATGATGATCTTAAAATGACATCTTACTTTATATGATCAGACAATCGCTCTGTTTTGTTGACAAGTTTTATCTTTTATTCCTTGACAAAAACCAGCACAGGAGGTTTTTAAAAGAAAACTAAAGCACCTTTTTAAAAAAGACAGTCAAAGAAAATAGACAAATATTTGCACTCTGTCTTAAAAAAGTGAAGTAGCCATTACATTGAGGACTTTACACATGTTTACACTTACGTTGTACACTCTTGGGAGGAAGCAGATGACTGAACCTTGGCTTCCTGCAGAGGGATCTACTTCCAGGGCGAGCTATGCAGGTTAGCTTTTTCGTGGTTAGCCAGTTGGCCCTTAGCTGAGCTGGGTGGCATGGAAAGTTGTAATACAAGAGTTGTCTTTCCCTACTCTCTTTGAGGTCTTTTGTTTTAAGATACATTGTAGGTAGTCAATCTGCAAAGGACGTGGACATAACAGGATATCCACACCTACATAAACAACTGCTAAAGCAAGAGAATTGTAATGTATTGACATGAGGACGTCGTAAACATCTGTAATATTGGCAGAATTTGATAAACAAACTTTTTTTAATCAGAATCAGCCAATGCATGAAAACAACAAAATGCTACTTGATCCAGTCATGTTTAGCATTCATAACAATCTCACATAGTAGATTAGATAGAACATTTCTCGAATGCTTTAGCATAAACAAGCGAAATTAAACTGCAGATTGGCATCACAACACAGTCATTCCAGAGGGATGCATTTACACCCATTATTCAGTGTTTGACAATTGCACTCAATCTCCACTCGCCGCACTCTCCTGTTTTCTCAATGACTCTTCAGACACTCTGCAAACTCTTAATATTTTAAGTGGTAACAGCCAGTGTTATCTCTCAGCCTACTCTTTCTTTTTCTTTTTTTATTCTCCTCACATTCACTCCCTTATGAATGCCACCATGCAGTCACCTCTCTCATTGTGCTGCTCGGGACAAGACACTTTGGATTCCATGGCTGATTGTCTGGCTTTAACAGCCTGCACAAGCCTGCAGAGAAAAATGAGCAATAAATATTTGTGTCCTTACTGTTTATTCATAATTTAGAATATAGAATGGTAATAAAATAACATTATTAATGTGAGAAAGAGCAATAGTGTGTGATGGTAAATGGTTCTTAAAGGAAGAACGTGCAACATTTTACAAATAAATATAGCAGAAATCAAGTATATCCTCTGTAAATGTGTCTCTGAGTCAAGACTGTTAATGAGTGAGAAGCTTGAGTCCCACTGGCTGTGTTGTTAGCTGTGTTTACATCATGTTTACATCATGTTTACATAGACAGGACGTCCAGCCGGCTCCTCCACTTGTGTGTATAAGCTCTTTCAGAAAAGGACTCGAGAAAAGAAGAAGAAGATACTGTTTATTTGAATGTCACATAAGTGTTTTTAGATAAAGGCCAGTCTGTGTAAATTGACCTGCTAGTTGAAGCTACGAGCTAACTAAGTGTGCTAACATTAGCCTGCTAACACAACGATGCAGGCCACAGGCAATTGCAGCTCGAGCAAAGGACAATTTTGTCCGCCGCCTGCGCTTAATGGTGCTTCATTATGGTACGTTCTAATTGATAACTCCTTCGTGGGGACTCGAGTAGAGAGGGGTTGGAGGTGTGTCGCTGAAGGAGAGCGGAGGCTTAAGTATGGCGGAGGTGTCACCAAGCAGCAGTTTGTTTTGGTTTCATGCTGGCGCTCAAGGGCGACATCTATTGGATCAAAAAGTCGCACATTCTTCCTTTAAGCTGTAACCAAATCACTCAGTCCAACCAAACAAGGCTGCAAACCACCAGCAGCTGTAGCTATCCTTTCACATCACAGGAAGTAATGTAATTCAACATTTATGTAAACTACTGGTGATGGAGCTTCGGGGTGTTTTTTGTAGCTAGGCATGATGTGTCATAGAATAGTGTTTGTGTGAAATAAAGTAGTGCAGTGTTTTTTATACTACGAAGGGAACTGTTTCATACCATAAATTATTTGTAAAACTCTGAATGTGACTTTTTTTAGCATGAAGGAAAGGTGGGATTTCGCAGCTTTTTGAATATCTTGGTAGGTCTGAATTTTGTACAGGTATTATACTTTTAAAATGTTCTTTGAAATGAATCACCATCTGAAAAGATACCAACAGCAATCTCTACAACTGCACCTTAACCTGCCCAGTTAACCGGTTTATTCTAGTGCTATATCACAATGATGCAGTCAAATCAGCCAAAAATGTTTAGTTTTTTTTTAGATTACATTGAAATGTGCAGCAAAGATTTGATACACAACATTTTATAAAGTAAAATTGATGATATGTGTTTAATTGTCCAGTTTGCAATACCAAGTTGTTTTTAAAAACAAACTTGTCAGGGATGAAAATGATAAATGTCCGTGCTTGATATCATGTGCCTTTATGAGAATGAAATGCTTTAATTTCAAAGAGAGATTGTAAACCAAACAACGATTAAGCTCCAAATTTTTACATTTATCACAGAAAAGTCAGATTACCCACCACTGTTTCCTAAACTAATCCACATGTTTTTTTACGTAGCAACACTTGATGCAGGCATTTAAGTGTATTCACACTGCACACAAGCAGTGATGAATGGCGACTGCTTTCTAAATTAGTACAAAGATTATACCGCTATAAATTACAAACACCATCATTTGAATGGCTAACTTTGGCACAGTTAGTGTTTGACTACTTGTGGTAATTCAGACCACCAGAAAACCCCCAAATTGTCACAATCACATCAATAAACCAAGGCAAAAGTTAGCTTAATGTCCAATGGGAATGCACCTCCACTAAAGCTTATGTTAACAGTAACAACAAACATTCATGCTAGTTAGCTTGTAAACAGTGTAGAAAATGACGTAGTCCTTTATCGTATTGTCAGACCAAAAGACAACAACGACCACACCACAAAGACGACTGGTGCTTTAAATTAATAAAAGAAATGTGAGTTAGTCGGGGGGCGGTAGTGCAGTGGTTACTTCTCGTGCCCCATGTTTCAAGGCTTAAGTCCTCCAAGCGTTCGGCCCGTGTTCTAATTGGACTCGTTTCTCCTTTCCCCACATGTCATTCCCCACTCTCTCTCTCTCTCTCTCTCTCTCTCTCTCTCTCTCTCTCTCTCTCTCTCTGATTTCTGACTCTATGTATCCACACTCACTCTAAAAAGAAAACGCCCCAAAATAATCCTTTAAAAAGAAAAGAAAATGTAAGTTAGGTTTTTTTTTTTAAATGTTGTGAATGTTTTGAAAAAGGGCAAAAGTACAAACCAAGCAGTGGACAATAGATTCAATAAGCCATGCAGCATAATAAGCTAGTATGATGCCTGATTTCAAATCGCCATCTTTAAAGGAAATTTCACATTTGACTGAAACACATCAGTCGTTATTCAACCATGTTAGAATGAACTGCACACTGACACAGATAGAAATAGTTTTTATTACAACCATCGCGGCTTGTAGAATATAAAGTCTGTCTCACAGCATGAATCGTTTGCATGTTACCACACCTGTACAGAAATACTGTGCTATCACTTCAAGCTCGTATGCAATAATGTTGTACATAAAGGTCTTACAGTAAGTGGTTCCCAGCAGGTTATTGATTATTATTTTTTCATTCACTACTTTCCAGGTGGCTTGAAATGAGATGGTACTCACATTCACTAATTTAATGTCAGTTAAACATTGCATTACATAAATGTGATTTGCAGTAAAAAAAATAAAAAATAAATATGCATCATTGCACAGGTAGAGCCTACACCCTACCTCTGAAGAGAGGCTCACATGTTGAAAACTACCAGAAGTGGTTGAACCATGTGCTGTTTACTGTGTACAGTATTTATTTAAATATTTGGAAAGTAAGGTAAGGAGATTGTCCATTGTTCTGACAGACCCTTATTCTAAGACCCAAAAAGTTTGATACATTTTCCAGTCCATCAAGATGCACATTGCCTGAAAGTTCTTTAAAAAAAAAGACTCTGAATTAACTCTACAGGGTGAGTCTGTTTCCACAGTTTCACTTCATTCATGTTTGAACAGTTGGGTTTTGGAAACTATGGGTTTTTGTTTCCTGGATCAGGGGCTGTCACACAAATATGCTTTTTGCCAATTGGGAAACATTTGGTCAAATGGGATCTTGAAATAATGGCCTTTCTGAACAATGGCATGGCACAGCGAGGTTGACCTAATATGCAATGCTAGATCTCTCTTTAGAATTAGACAATGCTGAAAACTGCTGTTTTGTGAAACTTGCACACAATTTGTGAAATTATGAATGTTCTGTGTTTTGTCATTATGTCCTAATTGCACATAAAAAAATAATCAGAAATTGTCTTTTTAAAAGTTTAAAATCATAAGAAAAAGGTTTTAATTAGAAAGAAACTGACTCTTCCTCTCATTTGAATACTGTAACTGTTAGTTGATCTTATGATCATTATGGCCTGGTTTCTGTATGCATGACCCTTTCAACTTCTGTAGCTCTTATCAGACTTTTTTGGCATGTTTTTATTCTCTGAACTGTAAAATTGTTGACTTTTTTAAACAATAAAGAACATTTTAAGCATCTGTCTTTGTACCTTCTAGTGTCACCAATTGCAGAAAGACGAAAGACGACCCATATTTCTGACATACTTAGCCTGTATTTAAAGCATTCACATGTGTGAGCTTGCCTCTGCCACATTTGGTTGTCCATGGCAAATTAAGTTTGTTCACACAAAACTAAAAATAACTTTAAACATGAAGGGCCTCAACAAAAATCCCTACACTGCGTTCAAACTGCAGCCAAAAGTGACATCAGTCAGACTTTTTCTTTTTGCTTCTTTGTGACTCAGATCAGTGTGATCAGCACAATTCACCTGGAATCTGAAATTGACAAATCAGATCTGGACTGAACTTTCATAATGGAATCCCACAGGAGTCTGATACAGGCCACATTTGAGTAGCCAAACATAAAAAAATCTGATGTGAGAAAAAATATCATAATTGAGCATTAAGGCTTGCACATAGACTTTAAATATTAATGGACAAAACCTGAGTGACCTCTCCCATCTGTTACTGCAGGGGGATTTGGAGTCCCATTAATGGTGGTCACCATGCTGGAAATGCTGTCTCAGCCTAACTGTCAGTGAACCTAACAACAGGCTTACAGCTGGAGCTGAGTCGGGGGTTTAAGCCTCTTGACAAACCATTACACCATTGCTTGTTAATCAGGTCAGCTATGTGCCTTATTGTGAATAACTCCTATCCTTCATCAAATCAAAATGGATGAGTTATCAAAAAAAATCACCCCTGTACAGTGTGTGCAGATCGAGACATGAGCTAATCAGACCTAGTTTGATTTTTGAACCAGGCTGTAAACATGTTAAATTGTACTGTAAAAAGCTTTTTTAATGGTTGTGTATTTAGCTTCCTGTGCTTCTTCTGCCAGCCTCTAGGACGCTTGAAGAACTGCAGGATTTTGCACTCCCGCATCGGCTTCATTTTTCAACACCGGAGTTTGCAGCTTGGGCTTACAATGTGAACGCAGCCTTCGTCTGTAGTGTTAATGGAAGTTGTGCTCTAAACACAGAGTTGGATAATAAGAAAATGGTTACTGATGGTATTTCATCTTATCTTTTACTTAACTTATAAATGTCAGTCGCCTGTCATAGCGAAGAAACAATCTTTTACATAGATAGTCATGCATCCAAAATTTATTTAGATGCAAATAATTATTTATTTATTTATACTGAATGACATTAATCACTTTGTTTTATTTTAACTACTTTTAATAATGATGGAATTTCATTATGTCCTACTGAGTTTAGGGAAGTCTTGTCTTATATTCACTATAATAAACCATACTTTAGTTTATTTATTGATCTATTTTTCACAATTGATCTGTTACATATTAACTTTATTTATTATTTAGTGTTAGCCTGTTAAGTTACATAAAGTATATAAATGTAGGACATATAGGGACACATAAATGTAAAATCCAGGAAGCTGCCTTCTGCTAAATTCATTTTCCCATTATCTATTTTGAGCTACTTTTCATTTATCAAGCTTGAACTGAAGCCCGTCATCATCCGTATGCACAGAAAACCATCGGGCGCGCGCAGCATCCGGAGGACCGTGCGCGTTCCCGCGTCGCCAGAAAGAGGGGGCGGGCAGGAGATGGAAGCTGTGGAGGACAATATAGGGTAGTGAAAATGATGGCGACCGATGCAGAGGAGATAAGAACCCAAACAAGCCCCTGTCCCATCCCCGACAACAGTCTCAGCACTCTGTCCATCAAAATTACGCGGAAAAACCAGGACAGACACTGGAAGTTGCGGTTTATATACCTGCAGTGCTGTGAGTACCGACACACAACGCAATGTTTACAGTCAAACACCGGTACAGGCCACACACACCCGCTCACAATGTAGCGATGAATGCGCCGAAATACTATTATTTCTAACAGAAATGTTTTCCCTATAGCCACATAATAAATGTGCATGATAATATTTTCGGAGAAGCGGAGCTCACATTCAAGGTGTTTCTGAGGGATTAGGACTGATGGTAGATTCCGTTTCAACGCTCGCGAGGGTAAACACGAATACATACAGTATTATGTAAATAAATAAATAAATCCAGCTTGAATATTGCAATTAGGCCTAGGATATGTTACTTAGCAAAATATGCTCTTCTTTGAATAAAAAGGATGAACAATGTAGTTGGGCTTGCATTTAGCTAATATACCAACTTTCCTTACATTTTCCTTTTTTCTAGCCTGGCTGCTATGACAACAATATTTATCATGGGAACTATTTCAAAAAGTTAAATCTGTCCCTGCAGATTGAATTCTCTCTTCTCAATAATACTTTAGTTTTTGCTAAAAGTTATGACAACATTGAATTATTAGCCTACATAAAGTTTTAAATAACAACGAGTTTTCTCAACAAGCCAATCCTTCACTTTCATTACTGTCACTATAGTTAGCTGGCTATGGACGTGGTCTGTTTCATCTAACATTATTCTAAGCTTAATAACTATAGACCCTAAGCTTTATATTTCAGGAATGACTCAAGCGTAACCTACTCATCATATGTTGCACAGCCTCTAAATACTTGAACTCACTGATTTAAATGTGTTGTGTTTTTTTTTTTTAAATATGTTTTTTTTTTAAACACATGTCACAGAAATATTCAATAATAATCAATAATTCTTGTTTTTTTTTGTGCCTATCCTGTAAATATTCAAATGTAGCCAGCTTTAATTAGATTAGTTCAATTTGTGTTTGGGATAATGGACTGCTGGAGAGTAAACACATTATAATCCACTACTGAATAATTAAAGCTTCCTCCTATCTCAACAGTCAGCTGCTATAGAGTTATGTTTGCCTACCTGGAAATGAGCATCTCGCAGGTTCCCTCATCATAATCGTATGGATTTCTTTTTTCAATGACTAGTGCTGAAAACAAGTTTATGACCCATAGCCTAAATGTTTTGTTCACCAAAATGATCTTCACATATGAACACTGCTTTCATAATATTTGAAGCGTAAACGCAATCAGCAAACATGAAAAGCTTGTATGTTCTGTTGTTCTGCGTTGGTATGTGCCTTTCTGTTTTCATGCGGATGTGATTCTTTATTTTAATTTTTTTTATTGATTCTGATGAAAGCAGCAGAATGTTTGGCAGCACTTTAAGTCCAAGACAAATTTCCCAGAGGGGACAAAAAAGTGGATCAGATCATATCATATTATAGTCTATAAAAGAACTACAGAAGGGTTGACAGACTTAACGTCACCACCGCTAAGCTTCTGACATACGAAGATGATGTCATAGCCATCTTTTTGTTCCTCAAAGTTAAAATTGTTAAATTAAAAAAAAAAAATGCATGCTATAAATAAATTCATACATTGAGCAAATCCTCACATTTAGAAGGTGGAACTTGCCAATGTTTTGCATATTCGCTTGATAAGTTACTTTAATTATAAGGACCCTCATCCCCCACTCCTTTCTGACATAAATGTAGTGATTTCTAAAGCATTTTCATACTGAAATGTTTTCTTGTAACTACCTGTGTCACATTGTTGCATGTTTCATCCAAAGGACAAAATGACTGAGCCACCAAAATCGAAAACCATTAAATGTTTATTGGGGTCATTTAGCCTCATGCTCCAGTCGGAGTCCTCTCTGTCTGAAACACAACTTATTGAGTGATTCAATTAAATTACTGTGCAGCGATGAGAACACGGACAGTATTGAAAATATTATAATGACATGTCTAATTGCTGAGGCCACATGTGAGGGGTGGTGGAAGAGTACAGAATACATGAGAGGATTGATAAGAGAAATGTGAAATACGACCAGGCTGATTTAAAATGGCAGCTTATTTCTAGTGATGATTGGAGGTCTGTGGAGTGCAAGTGATGGATCTGAATGCGACAGAAAAGTGACCGCCGTCGTCAACCATTGATATGGTGACAGAGAGGCTGCTTGATGGTGTTTATCGTCATCCCAATGAATGGTTTCACAGCCGCCTCACTGACTGTATGAATGGACTTTCTGGAAATGTGAGGTGTAAACTAAAGAGCTTTCGGATCAAAGTAAAACTTCACAACAAGATTTCTTTTCTTTAAAGGATTTCATATAAATCTTGTTTGGCATGAAGTAAATCCGGTGTATTTTAAAGTTTCTTGTAGTTAAAGAAAGGATGTGCAACATTTTACACATACATACAGCAGACACTTCTGTAAATGTCTCTCTGAGTCATGACTGTCTACAATGAGTGAGAAGCGTGAGTCCCGCTGCTGTACTGTTGTTGGAGCCGTGTTTACATCATGTTTACATCGACGAGAAGGCCGACTCCTCTCCTTGAGTACAAGTTATAGTCATGAAGACATGACCATATATGGAGGCTTCTCAGCAGGTTATCCACCCTGCTGTTGATTGAGCTGCAGTCTCGTTAATAACACCTATGCAGTGATTTGTTTAGCACACTTGATGAAGCCATGGGCGAAACACATTGTTTGTTTGAAAATGAAGGCTAAATAAACAGAAGAAGCAATTTGGCCTTCTTGTGCGCAGTGAATCCACTTATTTTCAGTTAAGCCATACTGTAAATCCTCAAATAATAACCAGGGTCTTTTATGTACTAACATGCAGAAAGTACCTTTATATGAAGGAGGCTTTCGATGAGAGGAAGGCCTTTACATTGTTCATATCTCAGTACAAAGTGAGTATTTTTGAACGAATACTATTTGGCCTGTTAGAATTGCCATCTGTTGTTACTTGTACTTTTAGATGTGTGTATGTTGATATCTTACGTTAGACGTCAGACGTGTTAAGGTGGGAAAGGAAGGTTGAGTGGTCTGGGTTTTTTGCTCTAATGTGGTCTTTCCACCTCAGAGTGATAAGAGTGAGGTTGGACATGTTGGGTGTGGTAGAATGAATGATTTTAGATATGATGTGTGCAGTTTTTGAGAAAAGTGTTTCATTTTACAACTGTGGGAAAATTGAAAAAGCTCATGGAGCAGTAGAGTGGGACGGGTTGCAGTGAAAGCTCAGCAGAGATATCACGGCTGGTATTAAAGTTAAGCTTGTGCTGCCTGTTGGGAACACAGGCTTTCTTCTAAATGTTATTTTCAAAAAGACTCATACCTGGAAATTGAAATTGCCAATCAGTACTTTTTGGAGTCTCCTCACTCTGGCTTCAACATGATTTGACTCGACACCTCTTTGACATCGTCTCAACAAAAGAATTAGTGCTAAACTGTGTTTAACTTGTAGAGTTATTGTTATGGTTGACTAGAGATGAACCGATCCACTTATTTTCAGTTCCGATCTGATTCCAGGACTGATTCTAAAAACTTTCAACCATAACTAATAGTGTTATTGTTGTTGGTTTGATGTGTAAGGTTACACAAAGCTGTAGTAAACATTTATTTTTGCAAAGAGCAACAATAAAAATATAAAATACATAAAAATTTAAACTATTCCAAAGAAATGTATCTGAACTTTATGCTGACTTCACATACAAAAACAGGAAGCAACAACAACTGTGAGGTTTACAAAATAAGTATTTTAAACTGAAGTGTAAGATTTGTTATTTTCATCTTATAGAAGGAACTGTTTCAATCTCGTCTGAACGTCGTCATGGAGACGATTTGTGGGCACTTCTTACAGTTCAGTCTGAATGTCTAATATGCCTAATATAATGCTTTTCTTCGAATCCCAACATTTTCCACTTTTAAGAACCTTAGTCAGTCCTGAGCAGAAACACAAACTAGATTTTCACTTTCACTGTCAAACAGTTTGTCTGTCTCAGTTTGTGGCTTTCTAAATGTTTAAATTGATCTGACAGAGCTTTGTGTTCTCTCCTATAGATTTCTTGACCATAGCAACAATACTGGGAACTGGAATCCTTGGTGAGTATTTCTATGTTATTACATAAGACGTAGTGTTCCCAAAGGTTAACTTCCAAACACCTGGCTATCACACTCATTTGAAACTATGGTTGGATATGAAGATTTGTTTTGGGTTGCAGAAAACAAACTTTGCACAGAAACACAATGAATGTCCAACAAATGGACTTGAGCTTGTGTAGCGCTTTTTTAGTGTTCTGACTACTCAAAGCACTTCTAAACTGAAGGTCACACCTACACATTCATATCCTGATAGTAGAAGTTGGTAAATAAAGTGTCCACCAGAAGTAACTAATCCCATTCATATGGATTTATACACTGCTGACGAAGCAGTGGGAGCATTTGGGGTTAAGTGGCTTGCCCAAGGACACAAGGACTCACTCCCTACACACATTCAACACTGCACTGACCCTCCTACTTTCAAATCACTTGTCAAAACTCACCTCTTTAAACAAACTTTTAATGTATGACTGTGATGTATTTCCTGTTTTTTGTAGTTTTACCTTTATTGTTGTTATCTTTATGATTTGTATGTAATGTTGCAGTGTCTGTTAGTCTGTCCTTACTGTGCTGTTCTTTCTGTTTTTTAACAATTGTAAAGTGTTTTTGAGTTTTTGAGAAGCGCTTATAAATAAAATGTATTATTATTATTATTTATGTGGCTGCATTAGCTGGGGATCGAGCCACAGCCACCCCTGAAGTGATTGAAAACATAATCATTTAAATTTGAAGATCCTTAAGCAAAGCTGCTCAAATTGGTGGAATACACAGGAGCTCAGTCTGCAGGGACTTGGATTGGGAACAGGAGGGTCGCAAGTTCAAGTCGTACAGTCCGGTAGCTGGAGAGGTGCCAGGTCACTTCCTGGTTACTGCCGAGGTGCCCTTGAGCAAGGCACCGAACCATGGTGCAACCAGGTGCATGTGTGTGTGTGAAGCATGTCTCTCAAAAAAGTTCAAAACCAGAATTTCCCCTCAGGGATTATAAAAAAGTTGTGCAGTTGCCTCTCGTCTGTATTAAGCCTGTGCAGTCTCCATCATCCTCACACTGTCTCTTCAGAGCAACACTATTGTCTCTTTATACATTATTGTACTGACTTCAGGTTCTCTGGGTGTGAATGGGCATGTTTCTCTCAACTGATATATGGTTCTTAAAAGTTTGCTGAGCTCTATTTCTATTTCTACTGGACTTCATTTTATTACATCAGTTAGTTTTGGAACATAATCAAGCCGCTGTCCATCTTTTGGCTTTCATTGGCAGAGCAAATTTAACGGTGGTTTATGAAGTGTAGTTAACACAAGAGAGATTTTTGTAGAGGTGGAAATTACATGGGACATTACATTTAACTGCTTTGTTTTCAGCAGGGTCTTCATGTAGTTCCATAAAGGTGGAGCCCTTCCAAGTTAATACTTGTTCAATCATTTAAATCTCATATTGAAATCAGCACCATCCATTAAGTTTTATGGTAAGTTGAAGCCAAAGAGGAAAGGAGTGTCTGTCGGAAAGAATTACAAGCTGAGACAGTGATAGACAGGAGGGGTATATGTGCATACGAAATTTAAGACATTGTCTACTAAAAGTCTTTGTTGGAAATCAAATCCAAAACAGTTCTATGTTATTTCCATCTCTAGGTCTTCCAGTGACGATAGCCCATTCAGGACTGGTGCCTTTTCTTATCTCCTTTCTTGTTGGCTTCTTTGTCCAGGTAGGTAACACATGACCTCAGTCCACTCATGTTATAATTGAATCTTGGTTGAAATTCAAGATTCAAGATTTTATCAATAAAATGGAAATTAAATGGAACTGAGCAACATGCTGATAGATATTAGTTGTACGGTGGTCTTTTTTTTAATATTCTTCAATATTTTCTTTAAAGAGCACATATTATCCCCCTTTTCCACCTTATAAAAATGTTCCCTGTGGTCTAAATGAAACATCTGTGCTGTGCTTTGGTCAAAATATAACATGACTCAAGCATCAGAGGAGGTTTGTGACCCTGTATAAACCAGCTCTCTCAGAACACTCCGTTTTGGTGTGTGTGTCTCTTTAAATGCAATGAGCCCCCCCTGAGCTTTCCCGGTAGACATCACTCCTTCACTAGCGAGAATAAAAATGGCAGACCTGTGCAAAGGTTCTGTTCTAGGCTGGGGGTGGAGTCCATGGGTGGAGATACCAGGGGAGGGCAGGGTATTTCTTTTTACCAGAATCCAGCTTGTGAAAATTTGAAACAGAGCATGTTTCTCTGTGTTGTAAGACTTATGCAGATCACAAACAAAGGACTGGTTGGGTAAATTATCTACAAATACCCAACATTAATCCACCATGAGCACGAAGCAACATTAAGCAAAGTTACAATAGCAAGAAAAAACTTCAGAAAAATGTAAGATCTGACCAAGTGTACAGAAAGCTCTACTACATAAATACATATCAGACACATGGTGAGCCAAAAATCCCTAAACCTTTTCATCTTTAAGCAAAATCTGCTTTTTATATATGAAATGATCATAACCTGTGTTATGCTTTTGTTGGGGTTATCATTTTTACTGATACTTTAGCAACTTCTCCAAGACACACTTAAAAAATGAAATCATCATTCTTGATGTAACAAATGTTAGTAGTATAAAGACTTTTTATGAAGGGAGCAGCTGTGTTAAGGAAATGTCAACTATCTTCTGTAATGTCAGAGTGATAAACAACCAGAATACACGCTCAAACAGCATATCTGTAAATGTAATATCTTGATAAACACAAAGATTGAAGCCTTTTGCTGCTTGTCAGAGTTTTGGATATTTACATCCAGTTTGTTCCCTGTAGTATAAAAACCCAAATCATATTTGGTCACTTCTTAAATATTAAGAGTCTTAAATTCTTGCAATCACAGTTCTTCTTGAATAAACCTAATGTCAGTGCATGTCTTTTCCCAACTTAAAGCTGGGCTACATAAATGACTATGCACATATCTAAAATACCGGATTCTTTAAAAAAAAGTACCATAAACTGACCAACCCCATTTAATAAACCAAATGTGTTTTCCATCCTCTGTTTTGCAGGCCTTACTTATCTACCTGTTTGTGGAACTTCTTCAGAAATGCCAGGTGGTACAGCTAGAATCTTTAAAGGTATGCAGCCACACACAAACCCCTTTATTGTTATTTTACTTTTTAGGCTCCTTTGGTAACTTTGAGGAAAAGGCTTTAACACACCTCCACTGAAAAAATAGAAACTATTGGAATGCAATACAAGGACAAATAACGATGAAGGACACAGCTGGAGCTCAAGCTCATGAATCGAAGGTGAATGACTATTTGTGAGATGACACAGGGAAGTTAAATCCTTAAAGTGAGACTGTACAATAAAATACCACTCCTTGGTTTGTCAGTCATGCTTGGTTTCTTTTGATTTAACCAAATGGCAGGCAATGAAGGACTGGGTTTGCAACAAGTGTGCTGAACTCAGATTCTAATGATTACTATTTTTACATGTAGGCCCCAAATAAAGGTAAAGGTTGTGTCTAAGCTGAAACACAGCCACCCAACACCTGGGTTGCAGCTCTGGTTAGCTTGCCTCTCCCAGCCTAATGAATGTAAACAAGCACAGTGGACAGATGGCATCTTGTAGGAGCAGCGCCGTTTGGCATTATTATGATCGAGAAAATGGTGATGGAGTTGTAGGTAGGCTGTGTCAAGATAAAATTGGCATATTGACAGGTACAACCTGTAACCACATTTAGTACAGGTAGGTATGTGAATGTTAGCTTGCAAGGATGCATGAAGGCTGGTGGGGCTAGCACTGTAGCGTTAGCCACAATCAGCAAACTGGTTGTTTATCCACAGACGCTGTTATCCCACCCAGTCTGAAACTAAAACACAGCTTCTGTAGTCATGACAATAACTGTCATTTCAACTTTCTTAAAATTTGTCATTGTATTTATGACACCTGTGCTTTTCCTGCAAAATATGTGTGCCATGAAAATACCCTTTTCAGTAACTTACCATTGACCAGACTTGATTTGACTTACAGCTGAGCTTGTGAATATGTTTAATCATAACATGTTCTCATAGTAGAACTCATGGATATAAGTTATTCATGTTAAAAGATGACTGACCGCAGCTCCTTTGTGATTTTAAAACCTGAACTGTCTGTTGCTGTTGATCTCAGACAGGTGTGGCAGAGTGCATTGTGATGGATCAGGTGGGTATGGAGGATCCAACCCACACAGAGGAAGAGGACGATGACGAGAGTGAAAGTGCCGAAGCTGGTAAGGAGCCTTTATGCTGAGCTTTTTGTTAAAAGTTCTTCATCTTCGTTTTCATCATTAAAATAAACAGGTACAATTATTTACACCATCAATCTGAGCGGTGAGAACTTAGTTTGTACATAACGCAGATAACTCGGTCGGTGAAATGGTCTGATAAGAGAAAACTACGGTGAACAAGATATGTTCATCTTTCTTCTACCTTTACCATACTTAAAATGGGACTCAATCTTCCTGCTGTTGCGTCACAACCAGGGGGTTCCTGGTTTGAATCCCCGTCTGACAGGAGCCTCCATGTTTACATCTTCTCCCTGTGCATGTGTGAGTTCTCTCCTAGTACTTCTTCCCACAGTCCAAAGACATGTTTATTAGGTTAAATGGTGACTCTAAATTGCCCGTAGGTGTGAACGTATGTGTGGCTGGTTGTCTGTCTCTTTTTGTCAGCTCTGTGATTGGCTGGCGAACAGTCAAGGGTGTAACCCCGTCTCTCGCCCAATGACAGCTTGGATTGGCTCCAGTCCCCCACGACCCTGAACAGGAAAAGCAGTATCGGTAATGGATGGATGATTCTTCTTAATCATTTTTTCTACTAATTACGGCCTACCTGGACTTCCTGTCATTCTGAGTTCACAGTCCAACTCATCTATAGGAATGCTTTAAGCTGAGCCAGCTGTCAAGTCAACAGCATGGAAAACTTCCGCACTCAAATGGAAAATACAGTAGTTTGTGAGCATTATATGCCCTTTTTATATTGAGAATAATTCAGCAAAATAACAAAAGATGTTTTTCCTGAATATGAGAACATCTGCTGAATAGGAATTAACTCGTATGATGATATTCAATTGTCAGGGTTTAATCTCCCCCTGCACACCTGTCTTATTTCATCATTTCCAATACCCGCTTCATGTGACCAAACACAAGTCATATGTATTTTCACTGTGAAAAAAGACCCTCAGGGATATCAGTCATTATGCAGAAACCTTTCAACCATGATTTTTGCTGGATTAGTGATGAGGCTTATTCAAGGCTTATCCTGGTATTTGTTAATAAAGTGTCAAGTTCTCTCATTACATTTTTGGATTGGTTAGACATCCATGAACACCTGCATACCTGCCTTTTTCTTTTTTTCCTTTTTTTCTTCTGCCAAAGCTCCAATGTTGAAAGAAACTTACATTGCACATACTGACTGTCAGAGACATTCATAGCGTCGCCTCAGTTATTAAAGGAAGAATGTGCAACTTTTTGATTGAGCAGACATCGCCCTTGAGAAACCTCTGTTTGGAGACACCTCCACCATTCTGAAGCCTCCACTCTCCTCCAGCGGCACACCTCCAAGCCCTCTCCACTCGCGTTCTCAGGAAGGGGTTACCAACTAGAAAGCACCATTAAGCGCAAGCGGCGGACAAAACTGTCCTTCGCTCGAGCTGCAATTGCCTGGGCCTGCGTTGTTGTGTTAGCATGCTAATGGTAGCGCTCTTTAGTTAGCTCGTAGCTTCATATTGCACATAAAATGGCACGGGACGACCGTGATCTAAAGACACTTATGTGACATCCAAATAAGCAATGACTATGTTATTCTTCTTTTCTCTATTCCTTGACTGAAACAGCTTTATATGTAAGGCCGTCCCGTCCATATAAACATGATGTTAACACAGGGACTCGAGCTTCTCACTCATTCTAAACAGTCAGGACTCAGAGGGACATTTACAGGATATACTTGATTTCTGTTGTATTTATGTGTCACACATTCTTCCTTTAAGGGATGCTGTGAGTTGAACACAAACCTCTACTATGCTTCCTATAATAAAAGCAAAGAACTTTAGATATGTTACCTGAGATCAATGGCAATCACATAATAATTCACAAGTCAAATAGATATGAGGTTATCATTCCTATTTATTTTTGTGAAACTGTGAAAAGGGAAGGTAAATGCACGATAACAGACTGCACAACCACTAATTCAGGATGTCATATAGTCATCTACTGAAACTTTATAGCAGATTATTTCATCAACGTGGGAAAAAAATCTGAGTTGGACTTTTACACATATTCCCCAAACACAACTCACGTCTTCAGGCTAAATCAGAGAAAAGCTGCTTCTTAACTTCACTTTGATCTTTTTCTTCTTGTGACAGGATAATTGGCGAGTACTTGACACAATTTTTTTCCTTTTACTCGTCCAGTCAGCTCGAGTGTAGCCTTCAAGGAAATGAAGCACTTTACGCTTAAAGCTTCACAAATGACTTAACCATTATTTCACAACTGATTTATGATTACGTAATCATTACAATGATGAAGTATCTCTGACATTGTGCTCAGTTCAGTGCTAAGATTCTTAGTTACCATAGAGTTAAATTTTTATGCTATATTTTCTGAAGATAAACGTTTGCATCTCTGTTGAAAAAAGTACTGCAGAACTCATGAAAATAAGGGAACAAAACAGCGCTCTGATACATTTTAAAATGTTTAACATGTGGCCTGAAGATCAGCCCTCATTGTCACTGTTCTCAGTTGAGAAGTGTATTCAGCCTTTTGCCTGTCGAAGAATCAAAGTTCAGCTGGGACCAGTTAAAATACTGCCTTAGAAAAACAGTAACACATCATTCATCATTTCACATCCTTTCCCTGTCATAGTGGTGTTAAGATCTTGTGTGATCTCATTTCATAAGTGAGCGTGTGTATCATGTGTTGAAAGGCCGCCACTGCCAACCGCTGCACTGTTATCACTTGTACACTCGGACTGTACACTCGGACACTCACAGGTTTTCTCTCGTAAACTAGTTGTGGTGAAATAGATAACTCTTGATCTGTGAATCTCCCTCCATGATTTAAGAGAAATGTACTTCTGGATAAATCCCTGTGCAGAGTCAGAGTGTAAATAGAGCTTGAAGAAGCATGTGCAGGCTTCAGATCAGCTTTACAAATAGAATGGCAATTAAGGCCCGGTGTCCACCTAGCGTGTTTTTCTGGGCAGAAAAGCGCTGGCTGTGCACTCGGGAGCGCTTGCATTGAGCTTTTGTGAAACAAAAGATGCACGCACAGGATACTAACAATATAATTAGACAATATTATTATATGACATTTGGTATACAGATAGTGTGACTAGAGGCGGGACCTGACTGAGGAAGGAAGGCTGTTCCACAACCGAGGGGCCTTGACTACATACTGTATATTGTAGATAGGAACTTGTGTACACTAAACAATTGAGAAAAAGAACTCATACCCATAAAATGTGCGTGTGTGTTGAGCAGTTGCTGGTGTTGAGGACTGTCACCTCTTTTATTTAAACTTGGGCACAGATGGCGACGATGGCGTGTTTGTGTGTTTGTCCTACTTTTATACGACAGACTTCTGCATCGCCATTAATTTCACATGCTTGTTGGCCATTAATTTAATATGCCTGTTTTGTCTATGATATTTAATAATGTACACTCTGCCAGGACCACTTACGTCAAAGTTATCACACCATAAACATGCAGAACAATTAGGATTGGCTGAGTGGCTCTGCCCTGAAGCTTCCCACCTGTCAGTGCAGCATGCATGGGAGCTCCAACCAAGAAGAGCGTAAACACTCCTCTGGGGTAACTTGAAGAAAAAAACCTGCTGCATAAGGTTAATTATTGTTCAGATAAGCTAGCACTTTAAAGAATATTTAAGAGGATCTTATGATCATTTCAAGCTCCATAATTTCAAGAGAAAAAGATTTTAGTGTAGAAAAAAATAGGGATGTAACAGTATCGTCAATGTTGCGATATTGCAAGAACAAAAGTGTCTCAATGACGTCGTGGACCTGTGGCGGTATGAAACGATAGGTCTGGAGGGGGAAAGAAATGGTTTATCTGTCAGCCGCAGTGGAGCAGAGCAGAGTTCATCACAAATGCAAATATGGCATCAGCTGAGAGGGAGAACGGAGAGACAATTTAGAATTTGTAGATGCTGTTAAAACTGTCGTCTTTACAATATCAAATCTAAAAAAATGAACTGTACGACGTAGAGACTTTCTGTATAATCCACTAGCTTCATCAGAGATTGTGTGTTTCTGCAACATCCAGGGGTGTTTCGTATCATCAGAGACTGTCCTCATCCAAATCCCCAAAAACCAAGATAATCTATTATGATTTGTGTATACACTTTAGTGAAATAACATCATTTGTGTTGTTAGCTCACTTGGCTTGATGGACGTTTTTTTTGGTCTGTCGACCAATCAGAGGCTAATCAGACATGTAAGGGCCAATGAGAAGGACAGTGCAGCCTGAGACAGACGTCACAGCCTGCTCTCAGCATAGAAATATGAATAAAAAAACAACTGTTTTAAATAGATTCATCCTATTCAGCCTATTCTAGTATCAGTAGATCTGTGCTCCTTCTACAAACCAGCTCTAAATAATGTGTCGATTGTCCTATGACATGAATCAATACTTTGACACACTCCTGGTCCTTCCCAAGGTCCCTGGATGGGAGAACAAATATTAAATGTTATATTGTGAGTATTGTTAACAAGGTCCAGCTGATGAAATTGTTTTGTTAAAGGGACTTTAAGGTAATTTTACCCATCTCATACCCCGTTTCAATCCAATCATTGTTAAATGAATGGCATTTTTTTCCAAGTCTCTCCATTAATATGGTACCATGGACTCGTTATCGTGATATTATTGTGTCGCAACATTTTGAAATTGTTACATCCCTAAAGATTTTTTTTGTTTATTTTGTGGCCCATCATGATGATTACCCTTCAGTCTCAGCCTTTGCTGAAACAATCTGTTTGAGTTGTTGTCGCTTTAACCCGCCCTCCTCCTTTAAAGCTCACTTTCACCAGCGTTTCCTGATCCTGCCAACGGCAAACAATCGCTGAACCATGCAATTGCCACTAGCCCTCAGCATCACTTAAAACTTGAGATGTAAAGAGTAGAGCTGAGCACAGGGTTAGAAAACTTTCAGACTGAGAAGATCTGAGCAGTCTGAGGTCTGAGCTTTTGAAGGCTGTGGGATTACTTTGACCTCTCTTTACTTTAATAATTTAAACTTCAACCACATTTTTATTTACATCCAGTCATATATGTATGAGTTTAAAATATTTAGTACTAGCATCACAGCTATTTTTTTAAACTCCTCTTTAAAAGAACAGCACATAATGAAATTAAGAGTTGGTTGTCTCTAACCTCGGGAGCTGAGGTTAGCTACAACGATGGCATAAACAACATTTCAACAGAGCTTGTTTGTAGGGATCACAAGATATCAACATTGTTGTAGCCTATATAAAGTCTTTTACTTGATATGTTGGTTCCAGTGATATAACAGCCCTGCACATCTGCATGTCCTTGTCTTTCAGATACGGGTTTACTACAGTCAGATGCCGCATCCTTGCACAACCAAGAAGACAGCCTGCAGCCCAATCTTCATCTGCTTGGCCACCTCTTCCTCTCCCGGCCCATGAGCCACGCCTTCAACTGCATCCTTCTCTTCCAGTTGTAAGTAACCATGGTGATGAGCACATTATTTTTCGGATCTTTACTAAATGTACCAATCATACACTACTGTGTTTCCCCTACCATTATATTAGGGGGGGCGGCCCGCCCCCCCCAACGTCACCCCCCGCCCCCCTTGATGGTCAAGTTAATTTTATTTTCTATAGCGCCAGATCACAACAGAAGTCATAAGGATACCTTTCCTATAGAACAGGACTTCAGACTTTTCTGGGCATGTCTCTCTCGCTGCCGTTATTCAGGGGATGCGCTGTTAGCATGCTGCATTCAGGGGTGCTCAGACAATGAGAGATGCATTCAGGTGCGCTCAGAAACGGGAGTTGCAGGAACAAATCGCAGGAGCCCACCCCCGCCCCCCCCAGAGCTCTAAACCTAGGGGAAACACTGCACTAAACAACTCCGGAGGTCTGTGGGTGGAAATGTTTTTCTCATCACTTTAATCCAATGCTGCTGCATACTGAGTTCAATCTGTCATTATATTGTGAGCTGTTTTCACACTAAAACAAACAAGAGAGGGCACAAATGTATCCCAGTAATATGTCTGAACCTCCTCACACATCACTAGAATATTTTTTTTTCAACCCTTTAATAAAATATGGAATGTATGACACTTGTGTAAGAGTGGTTTCACACTAGGGACCCGGGCCTGGATCCGAGAACGCTTGACCCCAAAGTCCATTTAGTTTTATCAGCGTGAACACAAATGTACCATACTCGGGTACCGTGTCCCAGAGTCTGCTTGAAGAGGTGGTCTCGGACAATTCATGTGAACTCTCATAAGGTCCACAGGTGATGTGAATGCAACCGTGCTCAAACAAGGAAGTGGGCCGATATATGACATTTTTCTAAACAGGTGATGTAAATGCAACCGTGCTCAGACAAGGAAGTGGGCCGCTATATGACATTTTTCTAAATGCCTCTTGCTGCTTCAAAAAACGTAGTATTCGCGCAGCTCGGGCCGTTTCATCCTCTGAGCTGCACGATAGATGTAGAAGTAGGAAGAGGGTCGCTGTTGGAATATCAGAATTAACAACAACATCCCATCCACTGTTTGCAGGACGGACTCAGCCTGCGAGTGGTTGCCATGGTTACTTCTTCTTTCTGTCTTTTTGCGGACTTGCAAACCAACTGTGTGCATACTGCCCCCCGCTGCATCGGACTGTGTACATATGCATGTGAACACGGGTACAGAACGATGTTACTAATGTGAACGCCCTAAGAAACGCTACTAGTATTATGCAGATTGAAAGAACTAAAATCATGCTGCTCCCATTACCACTTAGTGCTGTCAGTTCTTATTCTTAATTGAATGTGCTCAACCGTTACCATGTCATGTTCTTAATTCATTCAAAGTTGTTTTATTGAAAAACAGACAGCCCTATTACCATTGAAACAAAAAGGAGAAATATGTCATTCTAATGCGCTTGATTTTTCTCACAAGATAATTAGTTTAGTATCAAAGTCATTGTTGCATCAAAAACTGACATGTTCGGTTAAGAGCCAAATAAAGGCACACTTCCAAATACTGCATACAGTCTTTTGTATGTTATAATAATCCAAACCATGCTTCTTCTTTTTTTTTAAGATGGCACAGTGCTCTAATCACGATTTCTATGTCTACAATAGATCAATTCATGATGGAATTCATGATGTTAAAGAAATTGAGTGTGATGCCAATCTTGTGTCCAGGTACAGTAATGAGAATCCCCTGTATACTGCCTTGCTAAAATAAAAAAAGACAGACACAGTAATGGACTAGCTCGTCAATTGCAGCATTTAGCAGCTGAAGGGCCAGAAATTTCCCCAGAGAGTTGAAGGACAGGCCTAAAAGATTGTGAGTATTGGACGTAAATGCATGTAGTGCCAGAGTCATGAAATGGAATGAATGTTTAAGTGTTGTTTCCTGTCTGCTGAATGTAAAAATAAACAACTGTCCCTTTTATACATTTGCAGCTTTATAGATAATAAAGTTGTTACATTTACAGCTTACTGCGCTTCTCCCAAGTGGCAATGAAATCAATGCATGCAGCTTTTGTTTTTGTAATATTACATGTGGTTGTTTGCAAACCAATTTCCCTCGGGGATAATTAAGTTAATCAGTGTGAGCATAAAATGTGCTCCCACAGTAAAAAGTATGGCCCTACAAAGCTTATGAAGTTTTCAATTTAATGTAAATACACTCCAGCAGTCATGAATGCACCCTGATATTCTCTATCTTTCAAGACCTCCCTTAAATTTAAAGTTTTAAAGAGGGACTTATTATTGTACCAAGACATCATTTAAAATACAATAATGTAGAACTCAGAGATCATTTATCTTTAGTAGGGCCAGACCGATATGGGATTTTTGGATCCGATATCGATATTATGGAGAGAAAGAATCTTGTATATTATGTTATATATATATATATATATACATATATATATATATATATATATCCCAATATATTTGCAGATTTCTTGCTTAGATCTGTCTTTGATCTGAAGAGATAAATATAGATATAGACATACACTTGTATAAAGGATGTGTAATGAAGAACAGATGATCACCCAACTGGAATTTAAGCTGCTTGACAATCTGGAGAGTGATGGTGCTTGTTGTTATCAATATAGCGCCCTCTGCTGGCAAAAGAGAACCGCAAGTGTAATACAGTGAGACTGAAATGAAATGCTTTTTGACTGGTGAATAAATCCAGAAATATCGGCTCATAGTCACTCTATATGCCTATATTGGCCAATATTATCTGCTGGCCGATTAATTGGTCGGGTTCCAATCTTTAGCATCAGAGGTTTTAACTATCATTCAACACAAACTTTGTGTTGTTCATGACTTGTTTTTTTAACTGCATGTGGAAAAACTCAACAAGTGCAACAACAGTGCAAGATGAATTCAGGCTGAATGACTCCCTTACCTCTCCCTAAGCTTTGACATTGTGAAGAAGATGTCTCCTATCCTACTGGCTTTTCTGCTTGGTCATTGTTAAGGGAATACACTGCCATATCCTAGCGTCTTTAATCCAACAATGTGGAGAGAAAACCTGTCAAGTCATATCAGCTGCATTGCTGTGCACCAGCACAGCTATTCTCCACTGAGCCAGGGCATCAGGCTGGTGTTAAAGCTGTCTTTGAGGTTCAGACTTTATATCACCAACGCTGCTACAAAGTCTGGAGATGTTAAGAGTTTCCTGGCAGAGCAGAATCCTGATCACATCTGAGCATTGCAACAGCATCTGGAGCTAAGGGACTTTTTAGGGCTGACCACCATGTTTTCTATAAAGTTAACAGTTTGTAAAGTGAAACTTTTCAGTAATTTCTGAATCAAGTGATCACGTTGGCTGGTTCATGCAGAGAGGTTTAATTATGCAAAGCCTAGTCCACACGTAGGCAGGTATTTTTTTAAACGGAGGTTTTCTTCCTCTGTTTAACAAAATAATCAATCCACCCATGTTAAGTTCTCAGTAACACAAATTACACTGTCATGAGCAAGCCAAGTCAAAAACTATGTCTTGACATGCAAACATTTTCCCGCCGTTCCTCTGCAATGACCATTTCATTTACAAAGTTGTCTACTCAGGCACCTCTGCTCGTCAACATAGTGAGAGAGTAACTGTGAATGTATGTGTGAGCATGTAAAAAGTCCAGTTAGCAATGTTAACACCAGCGCTAGTTTGGTTACGTCTGCCATCGCACTTATCTCATCACTTATGTGCACATATCACTTATGTCGCATAATAGGATAGGATAGGATAATACTTTATTGATCCCCAGAGGGGAAATTCGGGCGTTGCAGCTTCACAGACAATTAGAAGAAGGTCAAACAAAATACAAATTTAAACATGACAGATAAGGTAAACATAAATAAAAATAGGGGGTATGTACAAGTCCACTATGAATGGTGAAGTTAACTATGCAGGGAATTGAGACATTATGTGCAGTGAATGGCAATATAATGACATCCAAACAGAGGAGAAACCTGCGCACTAGGGCTGGGATTTGATTGGATTTTGATTCTTGGGGATTCGATTCAGAATCTATTTTAAAGTAAAACGATTCTGGATTTGTGATTGATGATTCAAAGTCTATTTTTGAATTAGTAAATACTTTAGGATCTGCTCCAGTCATCTGTGAGACTGGTTGAATGTCTCGCTGCTCCATTTGGCATTCTACTGAGTTAAAGAGCTAGCCTTAGCACTTAGCAAGGAGTGACTGATTACCATGCACACCTGTGCCTGCTGCAGCAATCAGCCACAGGTGAATCCACTCAGCCTAATTAAGAGGAAAAGAGGAAGAGAGCCAGTTGTTCAGCTTGCTCTTCAACTGACGAGACCTGTGTCCACCTTTCTTTGTTGAGGGCCTCCAAAAGTGAGTTTTGAGTTAATGAGTTTAGTGTTGAAGCTGTATGTGTCATGATTATGCAGACTTAATTTAGTGTGTAATTGGTCCATTATCCTTTGTTTCAAGATAACTTTGTGCTTTGTGCTAAGAATAGTTGGAATAAAAAATCTAAAAAGACATGAACATCCCTAGGTGGGTGCTGAATCCACCAATGGTAAAAGAGAAGCAAACAAGATCTGTACCCCAAGAAACTCTCGTTTGAAGGGTTTATTGATACGTGACTGAATAATGTAAGAGTTAATTGTCACACTTGACAAAGTTAAAGGTTAATCTGTCCAGCCCTCATCACTTAGGTTACACATCAATGTTTTATTTCCCTAAAAGTTTCTTTTCAATTTCTTTAACAGATTTTAGCTCATGGTCTGGTTGTGTCACTCAGTAAACCTGATGGTGTGTAAAGTTGTTGTTGAGGTCAATTATTTTGATTGATTTAAATCTTTATTTTGAACATGTATATAATTAGTTTTTTTTACAAGTTGAAAAAAAAATTGAAACAGAGCCACAAAATTAAAAGAAGTTATTTCGCATATGAAAAAAACCCCACAGAAATGTCCCCTTAAAACATCGCGTTCATTGAGAACTAGTGTCTGCTGGAGAAGTTTACTTTGCAGCCAAATTAAATGCACCAGAGTCATTTGTTGTTGCTTTTTTATAAATGTAATGTTTCTGTGTGCGGCTTGCTGCATTGTGTGATGTGTCGATGTGTGTGTCCTCCTGGGCACAGAGGAGGGGGACGTGTCTTTCCCAACGCTGGAGGAAGGTCTTGTTATCAGTGTGCGAGCAGCTCTGTAACACCTAGGCCAATCGATACTTCCCTCATTGTGTTCAAGGAGGCTTAGTGGTCGATCAATGCCGAGGCTAAACCGCACACACAAATAGTACACAAAACCTGACCTGCATCTTTTACCCTTGGCAACCCTTGGTGTTTATGTACTGCCCTACAAGGTGGAGCAGCTGTACAACACATATAATGACACTCTTATACCGTATGCAGCACACAGGGAAGAGCGATATACTGAGTAAGTAGGTGAGAACAAACGCAATAGATGCTGTTTGCGGACAAGAAAAATCAGATATTGAGCACAAATTACTGAGGTCTGCCTCGGCTCCAACGATGGGTGATGTCACTGAGACCACACCTGTATTTATAAAGTCTATTGTCCACACCATAGACTGTAAATATTAATGGACAAAGCCTGAGTGATGTCACCCATCTGTTACTGCAGGGGGCTTCGCAGGCTCATGGGTGGCTCCATGCTGGAAATCCTGTCTCAACCTAACTTTCAGTCAACCTAACAACAGGATTAGAGCTGGAGCTGAGGCGGGTTTTAAACCTCTTGACAAACCGTTACATTGCGCCCACCTGTCAACCAGGTCAGCCTCGCACCTAACTTTGGATAACACGTATCGTTCCTAGAATCAACATGTTTATTTATGCTGTAAAAACTGTTTTTTTTGGCTGTGGTGTGTTTGTGACTTCCGGTGTTCCTGGAGCCAGCCTCAAGCGGACACTCGACTAATGCAGTTTATTACACTTCCGCATTGGCTTCATTTTTCAACACTGGAGGTTGCCGCTTGGTCTGCGCATGCACACACCTGCTTAAAACTTGCCCTCTGCTGCTGATTTTGTAAATAACTCCATGTGAATGGTTATACACCATTTACTGAATGTAAATAAAATATCACATTAGTTACTTATCCTCTTTGATAGCCAGTATCCAGACGATAAGAGCATGCACATCGTTAAACCACCTTGAGGTTAAAGTTTAAGGTCAAAGTTTTAATTGACCAATTTGAATCACAATCTCCAAGCAAGTGAGTAAAGCGCATTTTAGTTGTTCTCAATTGAAGGTCTTATAAAACATAACTTTAAAGATGTAATGAGCTCCAAGAGGATTGATACTTGCGTCAAATAACACGATCATCCTTCATCTTTTTCCACATCAGTTGCTGTTCTTTGCTTTGCAGCCTTTCAAGTTACTGTTGTCCTGAAACATGCCTCTGACTGACGGAGATGAGTCCTCCAAAGTTTTCTGTATTTCCTTGAAAGATCTAAAAGAGAGGAGAATTCAAAGAGTGGGTTCTGAACAACACTCAGCTGTCTGGAAGGAAAATAAAAAACAACTGCTAATGGATTTGCACTCTAAACAACCAACAGTTGAGAGATTACAGAGGCTTAAAGTTAGAAGGAACGGAACAGATGTTGAGCTACAAAAACCTGTCTTGTCATTCACTTTGGATCGAAGTGGGGGGACGACGACGACACTCATTTCTAATGTTCAAAGACATCCTGCTCCTTTTGTGAAGGTACAACATTTTGGAAAACTGATTTCTGGCCCAAGTTAGTCAGACAGAAAAGGCTCAAAGTAGGTTTGAAAAGCAAAAGCAAAACATTTGCTTTAAGTATCCCCCAAAGGCAACTTTTGTTATGAGCAAATGTAAAATAGAGAAGTTGTGAAGGATCAAGGCAGTGCGCTTTAAAACAAGAAAGGATTTTAAATTTTAATCTCTGAGCTGCTCATAGCCTCAGGCGCTATGATGAGGCAACATCCTAATGTTTAATACGGTGAAGGAGTTCTAATCGTGACAGTGGATGATGACCAATCATGACCTAACAAATAACAGCCTGTTTTTCTCCTCTTTCTGCTTCTCTTATTCTTTCTTTCCTCTAGTGTTTCTATTGGGATAAGTTACGTGTTAGCAGGCAGTGAGGCATATGCAGCTCTTCTTAATGTCAGGTAAGTCTTTCAAGCTCACACCTGGAACTTCTCCTCACCCTTAGTGAATGAATGAAACCTTCACAGCCACTAGGGGAATTTACCTTGTATCGAGAGCAAAACACGATATAAGTGACGAAAGATGTCGAAACCAGACACAAGACAGCACATGGGAACAAAACCATAAAACAACAACAAATTAAAATACATCATTAAAGCCTCACATGATTACGAGGGATTTGACCGATATGTGTTTTTAGGGGCCGATACAGATATCGATAATTGGGAGAGAAAGAAAATCAGATATGTGTCTTAGAGCTATGAAATCTGTTGACATAGGCCTCTATAAATGTACACATTTATTGTATTGATCCCACAAACACTTGTGGAAAATATATATAACGACGACAAGATGATCACTCGACTGGAAAGTAACTGAGCATGTGCGTGCATCAACCCTCAACACTGGAGAGTTACGATGCTTGTTGTAATCCATGTTGCCCCCTCTGCTGGTGGAAGAGAACTGCTAGTGAAATACAATAAACTCAAATGAAATGCTATTTGACTGGTCGATAGACCTAGTAATATCAACGCATATCTGTGGTAAATTAGCCGATACTGATAGTCACTGGATAAGCTAATATCGGCCGACATTATCCGCTGGCCGATTAATCAGTCGGGCTCTAATTTAAATAGGAAGTTTAATGAAGTGCAGAGTTTCAAATCTGATTGGTAACAGAAAATATAGGTATGTTCAGGTTGAAGTTTGTAAGTAGTACAGGTAAAAAGGAAAATATCTCATATTGCACAGTTGGGAATGAGATTGAACTGTTGAATATTGCACGAGGCGATGAGGGAGGGAGGCTCAGTGCATGTTTGAGTTCATTGTGGAAGAAACTGTCCTTAAAGCTGTCTGTGTTCTGATGGGCCTGTAGCACCCATCAGGTGGAGCAGATTAAAGCCAGGTGTAAGCTGTCCTTCACAATGTTTAAGACATGTTGCACATTTGCTTCCCAGTTATCTCGTTGCCTCGTTTAGCAGTCTTGTCTAGTTTGTTCTTATTTTGTGCGGACGATGCACCACGACCAACACTGAATACAACTTTTGTAAGATAATTTCAACATAGTACTGTCAACATAGGAAATTGCCAAAGTTTCCAAAAAAAAATGGAGGCTTTTCAAAGCTTACATTTGTGTTCCATGTTGGTTGTTGTCAATAATTGTGCCAAGATACTTGTGCTCCTGCATAATTTCAATTTCTGTGTCATTCCTAATTACAGGGGAGAGAGATTAATGTCTTTTTAAAATCAATCATAATTTCTTTAGTTTTCTTTGAGTTTAAAATCAATGAGTTATCACTAACAATCAAACACAGAGCTCTCGTCTTCTGTGCGTGTCAGCTAAAGAGCAACTCCACAGCCCAGCCAAGGTACATTGTTCAATATGCTGTCGTTTACCTTCACTAACAAAAATAAACATGTTTTGAGGTGTTTTACCTTCAACTTTAACTTTTTCAGATAGTTAAACACTTGAATGTGAATTGTCGGTTTAGGGAAGTGTTGTGAGCTCACAATCAAATAGTTTTCTTGAAGTTGAATTTTGTTATAAACTTGCGCAACCTTTAGAGATGATAGCTGCCCACTTCTGTGAGGCTCTGACAGTATTGTATGAACTTGCTGCATTTCTTTTTAATTAAAGCCACTAAAGTCATTGAAGTCACAACCACACACAGCAGAAATATCTCCTCAGGCACATATGCTGTATTCACTTACCAGATGTTGAGGTTTTATTTAATCATTTTTATTTTCTGTTGTATGACTAAGCCTTGTCTGAAAGTTAAATCTCTGCTAATGAATACTAAATGAATAATTATTTGTAAGTCTTCTCATCTGTCTCTCACTTACCTTCACATTGTGGATGCTACCTTCCAAAGGATAAACTGGCCTAATTGGCTGAACTGAGTCAGTGTTTCTAAATGCATTAATGAACTTCTAGATTAAATGTTTGTTTGTTTAGTTAAGCTCCATCTGTCTCGGCCTCATAAATCAAACATGTTATTTTCCTTTACTTTGAGGAAGTATACTCACCTCCAACTTTTCTTTTTTAAATTTATGTTTGAAATAGTCCTGATAATGAACACCATCACTATGTTTTCCATTAAAAGCCGTTTGGAGCTTTAAGCCATCTCATTAGATTTTCCTATGTAACATTTGAGTTTGGCAACTCATGAAAAAAAGTTTTTGCACAGTTAATAGGGAACAAATGACGAACTATTTGTGAACATTAGCATATTACTTGCCAATTTCTAGTTAATCATTAACGATTTATACACACGTCCTGCTGCTGACAAAGCTGTGGGAGCAACTAGGGGTTAAACGTCTGACTTAAGGACACATTGACGTGTAGCTGCAGGAGCTGGGGATCGAACCCTCGACCTTCCGTTGAGAGGCAACCCACTGCCACTGAGCCACTCACTTCCAGTGGCGTCCTGGACGTCTGTACCAAGATTTATGACGAATGGACAAATCGTTGAGTTTGAGTTGTGGACATTTCTATGATAAGCTCCACCCCTGTTGAAGTTTATTGGTCAATATCGTGAAAACTAAATAAGATAATTCTCTTTTCAATATTTTATAATCTTTTTTTTTTCTATTTTTATTTTGTACCAATAGAGCTTAGAGTGGAAATGTTTCCAGCCCCCTATGTGAATGTATGTGAACACAAATCCTACTAATCTTCATGTGATGCCCCTGTGAAGGGTTCAGAACCCTATTTGTTATAATAATTTTACAATAGCCATCTTTTCACATCAATGGAAACATTACTCAGAAATTAGTCCACAGCTCTCCAAGATCCTTCTTTTTAACATGGAGAACTTTGTTGTCCCCCTCCCTATCTTTAGCAGCTTGCTCCTGCTACTTCTCTGCACCCTCCTAAGGCTGACTCATGTTGGTTCACCTATTTCTGGGTATGCTCAGATATTTCCATGGCATGTCTGCGAAAGCCTTTGGGATCTAGGTCGAGCCTTCTCACCATGCTCTGCAGTAGGGTTGGTGTTTGGCTGTTACATCTTTCTGTTCCCGTCATCCATTTTGAGACTGAGGGAGCTATGATCTTATCTGCTGGAATCAGCCTGTGAGCAGTGCTCATCTATTCAGTGCAAGCCTCGTTGAGCTGTGCCTGTGAACCTCTTATTCGATAGAGCTGTTGTCAGTGCTGCCAGCCCCTTCCAACATTAATTATAATGTCTGCAGTAATAAAGGTGTGCTCACTGTGAACTGTTGCCTGCTGGGTCTTGAATTATTGCACTGTTTGACCTGCAGCTGCTATCAAAATGAATACAATTAAATGTTGGCTTTAGGAGCAATACTTGACATCTGACTCTAATCCAACCAGGTTTGAAACTTGGCCTGCCCTTCAATGTTTCTAAACCATACATGAGCAAAGTGACGCATCAACTCATCATTTAGCATGCGCTGCACAGAAATCTAATGTTGTCTTATTTACACCCTCGCTGTCTTGACAGACTGGATTTTGTTTTTCTCACTGCATACTGAACTCAAAGTGGAAGTCCTCAAACCCTTGTGGCGGCCTGAAAATATTCCCACCTCTTGGCACTCTGCTTTTATCTGCAATGGATTAATCTTAGTGCATAGAGCTATTATTGTGTGGCACACATCAGCCTTTATCGTTAAACTTGCATGAGAGATTGTCTGCTGTAGTAAAATAATTAAATAGTACACATTTTCCAGTGTCACAAAGTATGCATGATCAGGTTTTTCTAGACAACACACTCCTCTTTGTGATGGGCTGTAATGAGTCATCTTCTCCAGACTGAAAGGTTTGGTGCTTTTATCCTGAAAATGATCACTCTATAGGACATTTTAATCATTACAATAATACAGTAGTACGTGTACGGAACGAGGCTGGTGTGTTGGAACTACACTATTTAAACTGGAAATTGCAGTATTAGCGTACTGCTCCTGCAGCACTCTGAAGTAACTGAAGCAAGAATCGATGCTACCCTGTTAGCCTTCTCTTCAAGTGATTGTTGTCTCCTCCTCCCCCTTCCCCCATCGCACACCTCCTTTTTCCCTCTCCCAAGGCCTATAATTACCTTTATCAGTTAAGGGGACTAATTTATTTTGTCATGCCTCAGTAAATACTTAACCCAAATTATATAATTCAAACTCTGCAGGTTTGTTGAACCGCTTCATTGGCACGCCTGGGTGCTTCATTATCGGCCTTTTCAGGGCCAGGGGAGATGCTACGATGCCCTTTGGGAGTGGGAAGACAGGGTTACTGGAGTGAAAAAAAACCTTGGTCAGCCTCCTTTGGATAACCCACCTTTATTCCGCCTCTCCCCCGGGGGAGGTGATCAATAGGTTACTGCAGGTCTCTGCACAAAAACTCTCCTCTCAGTCCCGTTGTTGTAAAATGGTGTGTGTATAGGTGAGACACCCCACAGAGCTCCTCCAGACTTAAGGTATTAATGAGATTCAATTTCATCACAGGGACCGCATTATTGATAATTAATATTAATTCAACAGAGTTTAATGTATAAATGAACCCTCCTATAGTTACCTCCAAGTATATAAGAATTCTAAACACCTACTTAAAGCCTTAAGTTTCTTTTAAATCCCATGTGTTTAATTAAAATGAATACAGCTCATCCTCTTCTCTACAGCTGGGGAGCTTAAATCCTTTTATCCTACATATGACCGTTAATACAGTTGGACCAATGAGCTAACAAAACGACAACAAACAGCCTTGAATGAGTTTTTATTTCATGTCTTATTGTAATGATTTATAATTTAAAATCCACATTTATTTTTCTTGACATTCAGTTTGAAACTCAGTAGGGTTTTGAGCTGCACATGTTGGCCATCACTGTGCACTCTGAACCTTGATTTGGTTTATATTTAACATGTTTTGAAAAGTCAGTGAAAAATCAAAACAAAGTGTAAAATGCACACAGTGAATCAATACAAATAAAAACCAATTAAAGATGAATGAAACTCCAGTATGTCCAGTAATAGAGCATACATATACTGACTCGATTATGTGGTAGAGAACATTAGGGCAGATACCGCTTTGCCTTTGATAATGTTTGAACGGTGTTTGTTGTCTGTTTGTCCTCTGTGTTTCATACCGGGTAACAGGCCTTTAAATCTTCTTTTCAAGCCTCGGTGCACCAGATGTTGTTTAAGTAAATGAGAGCACTACACAGCTGTTTTGCCAACCTCTGCCATCAGGGTGTGAATGTGTAGGTGTGACCTGTGCTTTAAAAGCGCTTTGAGTAGTCAGAAGACTATAAAGTGATATACAAGCTAAAGTCCATTAGCCATTTGTTTTGGGGAGTGTCTGCTCTCTGGACCACAGTTTGATGGTATTCCTCATCAAACTGATAAGTACTTGTCTTTTCTTACATTTGGAATATGAAAGCTTACTGCGTGTGCTGATTTTCACTTTCCAAGGGGTGTTTGTAGTGTGTGATTGAAGGGGTGTAAAGGTGACTGAGATGTTTCAGAAAACCAAATCATTCTGTACCATCTGCTTCGTGTCTGCAGTCACTTTCATACTCGACAGTTGGTTCTACGACTTGTCATTGTGGGTTTGTTGGTGTTTAAACACAAAGAGTGTGGGAAGGGCATGACATGGTATATAAGGAGTCAGCATGCCCACCATGCCAAGTTAGTTTGTGGAGCACCATTTAAAAACCTTGAGTTGGCATTTTGGCTGCTGCTATCTTGATTTTTGGGGCTAGTGACCATAAATTGATGAGGGTGAAGCTGGGAAAAGAGAGGGGTGAATGTTTTGTAATTGGCTAAACCTATTGCTAGCTTAGTGTCAAGGTGCATCATTTATGTAAAAATATGAATAAATATGAAAAATGTTTCATAGTATATGAAGTTGGATGTTCAAATTGATAGTAAAAAAAGGCTTTAAACAAATTAATTTAAAAAATCACAGCCTTAGGCCTTCCATGTGCATGTTGTCTCTATGGCAACAGTCTTTTTAAAATGACAGCTAATTAAGCAGTGGTTACTGAGGTGGTAAATCAAGTAAGAGGGAGGAGGGACCTCCTATTGTAACTATACAATACGAGTCATCCATACAGTGAGACTGCAGGTTTAAGGCACTTTTTTATATTTGTTCACCTTTTAACATTTTGAGGTCAGGTCAGAGGTTGTCACTCACTTGTTGAGTGTTAAATATCACCTTTAACTAAACCCACTCACTGTGTGACTAATGGTGTTCTTTCTCCACAGCCATATCTATGTGATCCCGGTCTTCACCTGGATTCTAACCCTTGCTATATTACTAGCCCACACCATCATCCAGCCAATCACGTCAGTGCTTACGCTGCTGAAAGGAATCCTGCTCATTGTCACAGTAAGCATTTTTCATTTCCCTCCTTGATGATTATTTGTCATGATAATAAAATTATAGATCTGTCAGCTGAGAGGAAGAACTTTGGTGTGATGAGGACTCGTTTGTATCAGTTAGTATTTTGATTTTACAGTTTGAGTCTTCCTACTCTAACATTTTAATCATCTTTACATGACTTGATTTTGAGTGACTTTAGACTAGTGCCGAGGTCAGGCTGCACAATTAATGCCTAATCTGCAGACATAGGGTTTCAAAATCGATTGTTTTATCCAAACATATTCAATAATGAGACAAAGTTTGTCGAGATCTGGCAACAAAACTTATTTTTTTGGTGTACCGTCTTCTTTACGGGTGTCGTGTAGCCCAGCCCCTCTTCCTTCCAATTCCATGAAGTCGGTTGATTATTGTGTAGTCTGTCATGTCTGTCAGTCAAAAAACTAAATCTATTGCACTACGACATCGACACTACTGGACATACGACTCATCATTGATTCAGTATATTGTGAATTTATTCTTGGTCTGACCGTCTTTGTCTTGTGTTTTTGAAGCCAACATACTTTAATGATTATAAAGTATCCTCATGTTGTTAGTACTGCTGAAGAGTGGAAAGCTACACAGCTGCACATATCACCATAAAAGATGAATAATTGAGCTTTAGTTGACCAACTATAACCCACATGATGTATTGTGTTGTATTTCATTTTTTCAGTTCTCTGTTGTTCTTTCATACATATTTTATCAAATGTGTACAAATCCTCATTAAACTATTGACATAAAAATCAGGGCAAATGATGATCAAGTTTTCCATAAGTAATTGAAGAGCAATACATCAGGGAGTTGTTCTGTAATAGCTTTCACTTCTCATTGAGTATTAAAAGGATGATGTAGATACAGTATTACTATTTATCTTTGTTGTGGACATTTGTCATCCTTGTTTGGAGATTTGTATGATTTATGGGACATCATGCCAAGGTGGTATGAATGGGTCTAGAATGTATGTACTGTTTATTCACTCACCTCATTATGCCAGACACTACAGCGTTAAACTCAATCCTTAAATGGTCAAAACGACCAGAAGAAATTAGAAAAAACGGAAGGATTAAGAAAATATCAAACTGGTATAGCAGTTTAATCATTTGTATTTTGATTACTTCGCCGTTAGTCTGTCCAACGGCACTATCGACTGACGTAAAGTGAAGAAGCAGCAGCATCCTATCATACAGACTCTGACAGTCACACAGAGCTGGAGCAGCCTGCTACACTACACAAAGGCCACACACTTCAGACACAAAGCTGTCTTCTTCATAGCTTTCACTTGACGTCACACACTTCTGGAAGTGCCCACCTGGTGGGCAAGAAAGGCTTCTACAGGGTTTTACCTCCACAGAATCTGAGGAAGAAAACCCAGAGAGGAGGGGATTGTGGATAACTGCTATTTGACGCTCTGCTGTCTCTGGTGAGGGAAAAAAACAATCCTGCCACATCCTGACACATTGTGTTAACTTGAGCAAAACTGCCTTCTAACATCACTGCTCCATGACACTGACTGAAAGTAAGGGCTGATAGGTACCGTTAACTAACTAATGTGAGATAATTAGCACTCAGCTTTGCATTCATTAAGAATTCTTGCCCCTTCACTTCACAAACAGCAGCATTATTGACCCAGACACATAAGAACTCATCAAGCTGTCCATAGTACTTTTGTAGGCTTTCATCCTGACAGCAGTGTAAGGGAAAGGACTCAACAATATGAATATTTGAGCGTCCCTGGAGTAAAGTTCTGACAAAGACAGTGCTGTTGTAAGCAACTCAAGTAGTGTCAAGAGAGCTGCAAAAGAGATGTGAGTTCTTAAAACTGGGAAATTATCTAGTTATCTCCTTTTGTCTGTGGTTGTCAGCTGATGTGCATGTGTCATTTTGAAAACTGAAAAGCCAGTGTTGCATCTTAACAGTGTGTTCAATACACTGGTCACATGACTGAAAGCTTTTCATGACAAACATCCTGGCTTAGATAGCTCATTAGCTGCTAACAGTGGCAATCTAATTTGTACCTTTGCATATGTAGCCCAGGAGCTTACGTGAGTTCCATTTGTGGGAGTCTCCAACAGCTGCTGTTGTGATGTCAGCAAACCTTAGTCAGTTATTCATCCTGATTCAATGTGTGGGCATTTGAAGGTTTTACACTGTAGTGTTTGTGAAGTTAGCTGTGGCTACTACGTTTTATTCTCACTCTGGTTGCATTATCGACATCACTCATTAGAACATTGACTCTTTAATTATTGGAATATACAAGAAAAAAACATGCTTCATTAAATGGTAAATGGACATGAGCTTGTAAAGCTTAAAGTCTTCTGACTAAAAGTGCTTTTTACACTGCAGGTCACACCTACGCATTCACACACTGATGGTCACTTTACATAGCAGCCTCTACCATCAGAAGTGGGGATCGAACCTTAACCTTCCCGTTGAGACGATCAACTCTACCAACTGATCCACAGCAGCTTTCAACTGAATCTATACTATACTACTTTCTATAACTTTATATGTTGTCGTCTTCCTTTGGAAATTAAAGTCTGAATGATTATTGAGAACGACTTAACGCCACATTTTGGTCTGCCCTTCATTGGCCCTTGTTATCCTGCTTTGGTCAACTATTAAGACTTGCAGCTTTTTCCTCTGATTTTCTTTAACAAATATGAACTTTTCATGCCTTTGATCCTGATTGTTTTAATTCTCCATCAAGTTAAGCATTATTATTAGTATTTAGTTAAGTAATATTAACCATTGAAATTGCCACCATAAAGAGTATTTCATAAAGAGCTACTGTTTGAAAACTGAGATGTCTCTTTCTGTCTGACGGTGCTACTTCCTCCTTGGGAAAGACACTTAACCCAAAGTATCTCTCGCTGCTTCGTTGGTGGCAGGTGTATGAATGGATTATTTTATACTGATGACACTTTACACAGCAGCCTCTGTCATCAGTGTGTGAATGGATGGACAAGCACTTGCAGTTGTCAAAAGACAACATGGCAAGCTCATGTCCATCTACTTTATAATAGGTTGTAATTGCTTTTTATTTTTATTTCAGAAGTGAAGAAGTATTAATACTGACAAAGCTGTTCTACTTAAATAGCTATTACCCTAAAAATGCAATCATAAATAAAAAGTTTATTCTTTATAGGGGCTTGTTTCACTAGGGGTTTGTTTCACAGAGTCTTCTGTCACCTTCACGCTTCACACTGTAAACTTTTCAGCTTTGTCTTTATTCACTCCCTAAAAGTGTATATCCTTCGGCCATTTTTGATGGATGTCATGTCGCCTTAACCGCTGTGTTTGCATGAGAAGTCATGCTGGCAAAATGGATGGAAGTGGGGTCGTACTTTGGTCACCTCTTGCAGAAGCTGTGGTACTTATGGAGCTCCCACTGTGTGTGTGGCGGTTTGGGGCTTTTTCCATGTCAGTGCTTGCAAACATCAGGGAGTGTCAGCCGCTCAGCAGGAGAGATGGAAGGAGGTCTTTAGGTTTGGGCCAGAAAACATTTAACACCATCTCACCTACAAGGTGACACTGCCTTTAAGAAGTGAACAGCTACTATTCTGCTTTTTGGAGGCCAAGACTTTGTGACTCAGTTTCAGAGACTCCCTACAACATATAACTGCAAAATGAAATTATTAACTGATGGCTATGTCCACATTTCATGTCAAGTAATTCTTACTAGGGTTGGGTATCGTTTGGGTTTTTTCCAATACCTGTGCTTAGGTGCTACTTTTAAAACAGTACCTAAATCGATACTTCTAAGAAAGGAAAAAAGGAAAAGTTACTTTATGGATCCAGTGCAGGAGGCAGGCAGTACAACATGTATGACTCATTGGAGGATCTTCTGTCCTTGAAAAACAAGAGAAAAAGGAAAGATTGATTTTCGATTGATTGAACACACACTCTTAAAAACACTACGATACTCTCATGAACAAACACGTGCGCACACTCACTAACCATAGGATAGTGTTGGTAGATTGGATTTATGCTCTAGAAGAGATGGATACAGCTGTATATTCAAATGGAACTTGTGACTGCTGTTGATTTGGGACATTGTTGTTTCATCTCTGACCTATAGGTAGAGACATTTACACAGAAACTCACTCACATCTATCCGCCTGCGCGCACACACACAGACTCGTGCGCAATATGAAAGAAATGTGTCCTAGAGCTAAGGCCCAAACAGAGCGAGGCGTTAAGATTTAGGGGTTCACTTGTGGAGCCGGGTGCTGAGAGCCATTCCCTGTACTCTGCATCAATAAGAGAGAGAGAGAATCGGGCAGGCAAGGCTGACTGCACCGGAATAAAACACACTATCGTTGAGCTACGGCCATTTATGGCCCAGCAAATGTGATTTTTCTCTTTATGGCTGAAATATTAATGTTTCTATTTTGGTATGCTTAGAAAGAAAACAGCAGTTTCCAGAACCTGAGCTGCCAAGATAGAAGGGGCAACGAGAGAGAAAGAGACGGGGGGATTTAATAAGTGATGTCATGGCAAATAAAAGGGTTGGAGTATGACCTTCTTTCAGCAACTGCTCTAAAGCATTAAAGCCAATGTCACTGACAAAAAAAAATTCTGATGGATTTTACCCCTCATTTTTAACTATACAACTTTTACTGAAAAGGCATCCCTTTATATTTGTGACTTGCATCATTTAGTACTGAACGGATGGTTACAATAAATGCTAAAGAGAAGGGTCATTGCGAGCAGTTTGTCATACATTGAAATAGTCTTTCAATCTCTGGAAGGTATCAAAACACTTGTGCACATTGTGCTAACAACAACAAAAACCTTCTGGACGAAAACTGACAGCAATGAAAGTGAACATACATAGAACATGCATTAATACTGGCATTTTCTGGGTTTTATATATTTAGTTTCTCCACTAGAATCCATGACAAATTATCCCAGGTAGACCTCTCCCCACAGGATAGACAGTCTTAAGTACAGTTCAGCCTTTGAGC